GGGCGGGGCGTCGGGGGACGGGCTGCTACTGCGACGCTGTGACATTGCCTTCAGAACCCGGCTTGCAGCGGGTCCTCCTGCAGGCAGGCACCCGTAGCATCACCCTGGGTGTCCAGGGGGGCCAGCACCCCGCCCTGCCCTTTGGGGTGTGCGACTGCTTCCTGGAAGCCAGCAGAGGTGGGGTGCTCCGTTCCTCCCCAGACATTTCCCGTGCGAAAAGCAGTCTCGATGCTGAACACCCCATCTGGGAGAGTGACATCTCGGGGAGGGCGGGGCGGGGGCGGGGTTTGTACCTGACGATGTCTGGGTGGGTGCCTGGTGGTTGGTTATTCTCCACACTTCGGGCGCTTCTGAAATATTTCACAATGAGAAGGGATGGTGCGGCCGTGGGGACCACGGCACTGGACTGGAGCGGTGGGGCCGCAGCTCATGTGGAGCCCCGATGCCCGGCTCTGACGCAGAAGCCCCCGCACCGTGGGGAGCTGTGCCCAGCCGCAAACCAGCGGGAACCAGCACCGAACTGGCCGAGACCAGGAGGAGTCTCTCCCCAAGGCCCGTGCCCCAAACTGCTGTAGACGTTATAGCTCATCAGCGTGAACTTGGTAACTTAGGAAATTTGTCATGGGAGGGGTCGATCTGGCACAAAGGGATCTGTTTCTGAGGCCCTGGAATGGCTCAGTAGCTCGGATGGGCCGAGCCCGGGGCGGATGAAAGTCGAAGGATAGCCCCGTTTTGAGCCGAGGTTTCTGAATCCCGGTGGGCGGTCCATTGGATTGATTTTTCCTCCAAAAGGAAGGCAAGCAGCTGGCTTCTTCACCCCGGGATACTGGGGGGTCCTGGGGGAGACGCCTGCAGTCACAGGTTCAAAAGTAGCTGGTTTTCCCCATCCACTGTCTAAACTTCCTGGCACTGAGCGCAAAAAAATGAGGCCCTGCTGCTCTCTGCTGTCACATTCAGGGAACTACACCGGCTCGAATATGTCGTCGGGTATTAAATTAAGGCAGTCAACAGCGATGGGCCTCATTGAGTGCACGGTGCTGGGCCTTACGTGCCGTAATGCCCTCAAGCTCCCACCACGGATAGCGGTGATCGATGGTATGCAAATCTACCCGTTGTACGCCTTAAACTTATACAATGTTGCACGTCAGTTACATTTCAATTTAAAGACGGGTTACATGTTATCTCTTTCAGGCCTCATGGCAACTTTGTGAAATATTTATTGGGCTCATTTTATGAATGAAGGTACTGAGACTCAGAAGTTATGCTGTCGGGGGCTTATGCCGTTAATAATAACAATAACAATAATAATAATAATACAGCAGCCAACATTTGGGTTTTTAATGTGTCAATCCCTGTGCAAAGCAGTTACAAGCAACCTCTTTAAATCTTTTTCAGCAACTCTAGTGAGCTGAGTGGGAACGGACTTACTGAGTTACTTCTTCGTCACATAGGTCGTACTTGACTCTTAAGTACGATGTCCGAAGTTACTCTTCAGTTTAGTTTCCTGCACGCCTGCCCCTCCCCCACGCCTCCTTCATGCCCTTAGCTAAATTGCCTTTTATGGGCATTCCGTGGGGAGGCTTTGTTCCATCTAGTGCAAGACAGTGTTCCTTCAAATTCAAGGTCGAACTCTCCCCGCTTCGTCCCAGACACACTGCACATCTTGATCACAAGCCGATGATTCTCAGGCAGTCCGAGGATGTGCCAGTGAGTAGGGGGCATATTCATTTCCCAGAGCGGCCCTAATGGAGTACCCCAAACTGGATGGCTCAATAGGACAGGCATCTATTCTCTAAGTGTTCTCGGGGTGAGCCTGGGATGAAAGTGTCGGCAAGGCTGATTATTCTGGAAGACTCTGCGGGAGAGTCTGATCCGTGCCCGTTGCCTCTCTCTCAGGTTCTGGTGGCCTCCATCATCTTTGGCGTTTCTTGGCTTGTAGACACGTGACTCCAGTCTCTGCCTCTGACATCACGTGGCCTCCTCTGTGTGTCCGAATGTCCTCTTCTGATAAGGACACCAGTCCTTGGGTTACCCCTACCCCCACCTGGTGTGACCTCGTCTTAACTTGACCAAGATCTTCTTTTCAAGTAAGGTCATATTCACAGGTGCCGGGGTTAGGACTTAGATATGTCTTTTGGGGCAAACGCAAGTCAACGCAGAACGGGGGAAGGGAGGAAAGTTGGGGTTCTTTAAAAGTGAGGGGCAGCATATCTGCATGCTCAGCGTTCTAGTAGCGTTCATTCCCAGCTGCCCGCATCTTAATCACACTTTGAGGTTGGACGAATGTGCTGATACTGGCTCATCCCATAGAGGCAGCGTCGTCACCTTGATTTGGAAGAGGAAACTGGGGCGCACTGAGGCTGAGCAGGGCCTGGTGTCACATGCAAAGCAGGGACGAGCACCAGGGCCCCCTGGCTGCAGGTCACTTTGCCCCAATATTGCCCCTTCGCCATGCTGGGCACAGATGGCACTTGGTCAGGCTTGTCGATTGAGTGATGCTAGAGGGACCTGACGCTTTGACTGTGTTTCTTGAAAAACAGAATCGAGATGGAGATTTTTCTTCCAGTGGTTTATCGGGGCCGCTCGCGGGAAAAGAGGCGTGAGGCCAGAGTAGGGAGCAAAGGGGGGGGCATGGTCTCCACGGACCAGCTCTGGCCTGGTCCCGTGGGGTTCCGGATCTCAGCACAGACCCAGTCCATCCCGGAGGCAAGCGGGCTGCTCCGTGAGGACCGGTCAGTGCCCCTGCGGACCAGCTCTGGCCTGGTCCCGTGGGGGTCCGGATCTCAGCACAGACCCAGTCCTTCCCGGAGGCAAGCGGGCTGCTCCGTGAGCACCGGTCAGTGCCCTGGGCTGCCTCGTCTCCCCAGACCCGTATGTGGAAGCCCTAAGCCCGGGGAGGGCTGAATCATCTCCCCAAATCCGTTCATCGAAGCCAGACGCCTGGTGAAATGGTATTTGGAGGTGGGGCCTGTTGGAGGTTGGGGTTAGGTGAAGTCACGAGGGTGGGCTTCGTGGTGGGGTTAGTGGCTTTGTAAGAAGAGGAAGAGAAAGAGATTTCTCTCCCCCCCGTGTGAGGGCACAGCAAGAGGGCTGTCACCAAGAACCCAGCTGGCCGGCACCTTGATCTTGGACTTCCCGCCTCCAGAACTGTGAGAAATCAAGTCTGTGGGTTAAGCCCTGCCATCCATGGCTTTTACAGCAGCCTGAGCCAAGGCAGTCAGTCTGCTGCGGGCCACGGGGATGGAGGTGGCAGGCGGCCTTACCTCCCACCTAGGCGGCTTCCGTGTGGCCGACGGCGGTTGTCTGGACATGGGGTGACTGTGGGTCGTTATCTGGACTTGGGGTCACTGTGAGTCTTTAACAGCCATCGCTCACAGCAGCCAGAGGACGAGTCTATCGGCTGGCATGGAGGGGAGCGGGGCAGGGTCCGGGACACCTGGCTGTCTCTGTGACCTCCCAGACACCCCTCTGGGGTCCTGGATGGGACCCCAGGCCCCTCCTCCTTGCTCTCAGCCTGACAGATCCGAGAGCAGAGGGCTGAGGATGGAGTGAAACCCCTCCCAGCTGTGCCGGGCCGGGGCGGCCTGTGCCCCCCTCAGAGACGCGGTCACCGTGAGACTTCCCGCTCACCGGCCCCAGACACTGCACCCTTTGCTCTGAAAGTCGTATGCACTTTGGCAGTCACAGCTCACCTAGAGGCCACCTGCTTCTGACAGATCTGACCTCCTTAGACGCCCAGGCTGTGCGTCTGCTGTCGGGGACTGGCCCGTCACGGTCAGAATGGGCATCTGCTCAGCTCTCTGCCAAAGCCTCGTCGCCGGTTCTCGTCGCCCTTGGCGAGGCCGAATCCGCCGTGGTGGCCTCGTTGTCTGCGCTTCGTCTCGTCCCCCTTCCCTTTCCCCGTTCATCCTCTCCAGGCCACCCACCCGGCCGCTGGCTCCTCCTCTTCCTGCAGGTCTCGGCTCATTTTCGCCATCAGGGAGGTGTCTGCTGACCCAGCCCTCTTGTAGGGCCCCTGGTGTCCTGAGCTTGAACTTCTGTCCGCTGTGGTTTTCTGTGGGGCCGGTTGGTCTCTGCCTCTCCCACTGGGCTGTGAGCTCTGTGTCTGCTTTGGCTTCGTCACTGTCCCCAGCCCCTGGTGTGATGGCACCACTGCCTGGTGGAGTGAGCGGGTGTGCGTGTGAACAAGCTGCCACTCAACAGTCCTGATGGGCACCAGGACATCATAGGTGTCCCCCACATCGGTGCCTTTGGGAGGCAGGGGCCGCAGGTCAGTGGGCAATCCATTTCACACCCTGTTCTTACAGATAAGAGACCACATAGAAAATCTTAAAGGCCAGGTCCAAGGCCAGCAGCCGGTATCGCTGGGACTGGGCCCCACCTTTTGGGGCTGCGATTACCTTGCTTTCTGGAAAATGTAGAACAGACACAGAGCAGAGGGAACGGTAGGGTCACGGGGAACTGTACGGTCGTCATGATGCCCTGTGGGGTCGCGGGCGCCGGCCGCAGGAGGTCAGAAGCCCAGATCAGAGTCGCCGGGTGCTCGCGTGGTTCCTGAAGGCCATGTCCTCACCCACCTGGCCCCCTCTTGATTCAGTGGCCTGGCATCCGTTACTTCCCGTGCCACCTGCGTCATCACCATCTGCAAACCCTTAACTGTATCCACGTCCATAACTACATCTCACAAAAGCCGGGCCGTCCCTTAGAAAAAGCTCAAGGAGCATTTTGCGGAGGTTTCTCTTTGGGGTCCCCAGTCCATGTTCTTGCCACTGCACTGCGCCCTATGAAACCTGCTTAGACCGAAGCAGCCCCCAGGGGGACTTGTCTGCTCCAGTCTCATGCTGTTGAAACTCTTCCCAAGACCTGACGTCCACACATCAGAAGGAGAAATCACCGAAGAGACGTAGGTTCTCGG